AGGAACCAGCCCAGCTAACACCTTAATTTTAGCCCCTCAGACTTGGTTCAAACTTCTGGCCTCCAGAACGATGAGACAATGAACTTCTGTTGCTTTAAGCCGCTAAGTTTGTGGTAACTTGTCACAGCAGCCACCGAAACCTAATACTCTTGGGAAAGTTATTTCAGTTCTCTAACTACAACACCTACCTTCATTTGGGTGTTAGTCGAATAAATACTTTATCTTCTTCTCTTACCTTCCTGGAAAAAAAAAACCAAGTAAAATTTTCAAAACTGGGATTCTTTTTAGCAGGAGAAGAGAGCTCAGGATGGAAACTGAAGGGCTCGAAGAACACAGACATTCCTTATTCAGGGGCGGTTGTGGCTGGTTCCACCTTCAGGGAATGTGAAACAAGGACAAAGGAACTTTGAACTGCTGTCGGCAGCATTTAGGTTAAATGTAAGCTGTAAGGTGCGTTCTCTCAGCCGCTGGAGTTTTTTTTTTTTTTAACTGAGAAAATAGTTAGGTATCTCAGATAATTTGAAAGTCTAAGCAGAAACCATTTCAATTACTTCTTGAGGCTCCCTGCTTTCCTGTGACTCTTTAGTGCATGATTTGTAGACGTTCCTACCTGAACCAGGTGGTCAGAGATGCCAGGAAACTGGAAAGTAATGGCTAAGCAATGCCTTCTAAGACTGGATAGTTGATCGTATTGAGAAATTATTATTGCGTTTTAGTTTTACGAGTGGCATTGCAATTGGATTTAGAAAAAAAGATTATTCTTTAAAAGATACTTACTGAAATATTTATGGATTCCATGATACACCTGGTACTTGCTTCAAAATAAACGGGAGAGGAAAGGAAGTGAGTTGGGGAGGAGATGAAATAAGTTTTTTATGAGATGGTAGTTGTTGAAGCTGGGTGGTGGCGCCTGTAGGTACGTGACACTGTTCTTGCAACTTTGCATGTGTTTGCAATTTTGTATGTGTTTGCAATTTTTCACAATTAAGAGTAGGTAAGAAGGAAGGAAGGAGGGAGGGAAGGAGGAAGGTTAGGGAGGAGGCTAGGGAGCCGAGGGGAGGGAAGAAGGAATTATGATTGTGTCCCCGTCTGAATTTGGTCCCTATGTTGCTTCATGACCTTGGGTGAGTCACTCATTTTCCTTCTTTTTGAACTGGGAAGATGGGCCAGGTGACCTCTCCTGTCCCTCTGAGCTGTCGCATTCCATGGCTTTGGGCAGTGCTTTGCCATTCTGGGAGCCTTCTCTTGCTCAGCTCACCCCCTCCTCTCTCCTGGGTACCTAACACTTTGGCATTCTTCCTGGGAAGGGCAAAGTAAGAGATGCTGAAAATGATGAAAGGTTAAGCCACGGAGTGATTGTCAAGCAAATCAAAACAAGGCACCCATTGATGTTCAAGAGCCCTTTCACTTACATCACCCTCTAGTGTTCTGGGGGCCTTCACCCCTCATCGCCACACAAAGGGAAATAAAGGAGTCTCTTGCAGATGTTTTTTAATAGCCTAAGTTTTAAGGCAAGCCATAACCTGTGCACCAACCACAAGAAATAAAACCTCATTAGTTAGGACTCGACTGATAGAGAATATGAGAAAAATTAGACAGCAGGTTAAAATCAGCTTTATGCAAATTTACAACGTAAACAAAGTTAAATGGGAACTAGCCAGTTTTTAAAAAGAAAGTCAACTACGTAAGTATCAGAGGTAGAAAGGAATCTGGTGGTTATTACACACACCTCCAACCTGAGAAGACAAGCTCAGAGAGGGGCTGCCTGGTCTCCTGGTCACACAGCTAATTAGCCCCAGTGCTGGCACCAAGTCCCCAGGCTTCCCGCTGTCCCACTTCTTCCTTAAACTAGACATACAGATGGGACGAGTCACAAGTTCTCAAGAACTTGAGAAATACCTTTTTGCTAACACGAAGCAAACTTAACCTTAAATTGAGCCATATGGAACCTGCTGTCATTCTAGGTCAAAAATGATAGAATAATGGCAATTTCATACGGCACAAATCACCCTTTTCTGGATGTTTGGAAAAGCTTCTCCAATAACATCAATCAACCTCTGTAAAATAGAACAGGGGTCTCAGAGCATGGAAATCCCAAGGCAATGGCCCGCCAAGACCTTGCAGACAGAGACAATACCAAGTGTCCACCAAACTCTAAGTTAAATAGCTATCAACACGCAAGGATGAGCTCAGGCTTGCACAAAAGCAACTATGACCAAATATTTCTGGCAACAAAACAAAACAAACAAAAGCAAGAAGAGCAGCAAAGTTACAAAGTCTACCTCTATGGGCATCGCTAGACCCCCACATGGAAAAAGTGGGATCAGCGCATCTAAAGGAAGAAGATCCTTTAACTAAAGAGGGGTGGTCGGAAAAGGCGGGGAAATACAGAAGCCCCAAAGGCAGGGATTAGCTGTGCCTGTGACTGGGACCTGTCCAGGGTCAGTGACGTTTTTTTTCTCAAAGGCCGAAAAGAACTCACTGGAATCTGAGACGATGCTCCCCAACAGCTCAGGTGTCACCTCCTCCAGGAAGCCTTCCCTCACTCACATACACATTCATAAGTCAGTAGACTTATCTATTTCCCATCAGCCTAATGGTCCCTGAGAGCAAGGACCATGTCTCATTCTTATATTCCCAGTTCCTATTCTGAGCACACATCCCAGTAAACACACAGGTAATGCTGACTGGAGACACAGGGAACTGAAATCCCCCAGAGGAGAAGGACTGGGAGGGAGGAAACCAAGCCTGGTGGGTCCCTGGGTGCTTCAATGGCCTTCCAAAAAGCCATGAAGAACTGCTGCTGAAGATAAAACAAATCTGAGGAGATGGAGGAAGAGGTCACAGGGTAGGACAAGAAATTTGAAAGAATTAAATTATGAAACTCTGGCCCCACCCAAATGAGCCCTGCTGCCTGGGACTGCTCACTCAGAAACGGGCAGCGCCACTTGGGTCAGGTTGCCTGGCTTGCTCCTCTCCCTCGGTGCTCACACCACTGCCAGCATCCCTGAGCAGCGGGCGTTCAGCACTGACTCAGCTCTTCCCGCGAGAAGGACCTCACTGTCTCAACACGTGGGAGTGAATGACCGGTGACTTGCGTGCGTCGCGGGAAAGCTGAGAGAGGCAGAAACACAAGAAGGCACTGCAGCTCTTTGTCACTAGAGGCTCAATGATGCAGCATGAGTTCCAACTAAAAAGTATGGCAGAGACTGAGCCGAGGTTTGAGGGAGAGATTTCCAGCTGGCCAAGCCCAGAGGGAAGGCACCCCCACCACTGGCAAGCTACCTCCAGGAATTAACACATGATATACAATTCCTTTAGGGCTCCAACCAGAAGAGAAAAAGGATCCTAAAAGAAGGATCTTCTTGAGTACCCACCATTGAAGAGACATCCCTGGATTCTTGTAGAAACCCAGGTTTCCCACTGCATCCATCACTCAGGGTCAGGGGAGGACCCTTGGAGCCGGCTCCAGCTTCAGGGCTCTCTAGAAAACTCTGCTCTGTCAACAAATGCGTCTGCTTTCTGAGTCGGAAGAGGAAAGGTACGTAAGCCAACGTTTCCCCTTTCGTCTCAAGTACTGGAAAAATCAACATCTGACAGAGTTTGTTGCTCCTCAGATGAGCATTGTCCTCACGTATCCTTAAATCCACTGCTGAGCCCAGCAGAGCAGGGGGCAGTGGGAGGCAATGTTCCAGACACTGGCTCTGAATCTGGCTCTCCAGGTTCTATGCCCAACTCTGTTACTCACTGTGGGAACTGAAGCCACTTTTCCTGTGAACCTCAGTGTCCTCATCTTAAAATGGACACAGTCATAAAGCCTTGCTGCTAGGATGAGGTAAGGAGTAAATGAGATGGTATAGGTGACGTCCTTACACAGTAGCTTATTATTATTAATACATCGTTATTATTACAATCACTGTTACTGTTACTGTTACTACATCAGCAGTCTTCAGTGATTTTATTACTCATCGGGAAATCTTCAATAAAACTGGATTCCTTCAAAATTATGCTCATGCCAATATCAAAGGCATTTGAGGGGAAAGAAATATTTTTTTAAAAGGCAGGGGAAGCTCCCAGATTGAAACGTGACTATAAACCGTGTTCAATTATATCCATCTCAGGAATTAGAGAACAATTAAAAAGAGTGATGAGTCAAAAAGTTACCTTCATCAGCCAACCCACAGAGAACGTCCTTCTTTCAACAAAATGCATCTACGAGCATAAAAAAATTGGATAATGAATCCTTGTGACTCTTCCATTCAGAAGATCTCCCAGAAGGAAGCCAGTCTGACAGCACACGTTAGGAGTCGCTGTGTATCTCCAAAATTCAGATTTTTAGCTAAATTCTCTCTGCATGGGATAGAATTGCTGTTTTACTGCCCTGGAATGAGTATGTACGCCTCTTCTTTCTTTATGAGGGTTTTCTACGGAAGAGGAGGACATGACTGCCTCTAAGGCTATTTTTAAATGTTGGCTCATTTCATAGCTGCTGGCGTGGCTTTGCTCAGTGATTCAAGTTTCACTCCTGTGGCCATAATGAGTCACATCTGTGTGTTTGTACAACATTTCTCCTTCTTCCATTCACTGAAAGCACCTCTGCCTGTGCGCCTGTAGGTTTACTCTGCTCTGCGTAATTTTCAGGTGATGGGATTTTATCTCAGCAGCAGAAATTATAAAACACAAGATATACACTGGAAACATATCTGTAAAGGCACGTGTTTCATGCACACATGCTGATATGAGTATGTCCTAAACATGTGGGTGCGTAATCGGTTTACAATGGACAGTGTGGTTTAATCACGAACGTGTTCTACCTCTCTGCCAACCACCACCGAGTGTCCTGAGCAAAAGAACCAGCCCCTTGTGGATGTATATTCAAAATTCAGTAACATCCAGAAAGGACTCTTGATGCTCCAAAAAGAGCATCTCCCTCCCAAGCCAATCGTGAACATACCGAAATGTTCTTCCTTAACATAAAAACATACAACCAAGACATTCTCTGTACTGAATTAGGCAGTTTATTAGGCTCCTAAATTCCATGTCTAGAGCATGAACATGGATTTACATGCATTTTCTCACTTGTGGATCTTACATGCATGTAGTCTTCAGTCAGCTGGGCCTTTGATTCTACTTGTCGGTAATTTACAATTAGCTCAATGTGAGTAAATGATAAACACAGAATGATACAGAAGCCACAGCAACAAGTCCCATCCAATACCATTTACCTCTTTTTTTTTCCAAAATCGTATTACAACTCTCTCTTGTAAAAAATAAATTTCAGAACAAGGCATTTAATTCGCCTCACTGAGAAAAATAAAGACATTTCTATCATTTCAGAGCAATGAAATGTCCGACTATGGCTAAAAAGTACACCCTGAGAATTAAATGATTTTAACGAACCCATTGAGGTTTATAAAGCTGTGTTAACCTAACATCGGGAAGGGGCACAAGATACAGGCACAAACGTCCCTGCTCATTTTGCTGTGCAGTTCTCCAAGGATGCCATGTTATAAACATCCTCGTTGTCTTCAATGCTTGAAGCATCCGTGGAATCGGGATCGCTCACCACGATTCCCACAGAAGAGAGACTGGTGATGAAGGCGTGCATCCGCTGGGCATAGATGTCCCTAATGTTAAAGTAAGGGAGCTCATGACACTTCTCTGGTGGGTCCTCGCTACACTGGTCCACATCAATGTCCTTTTGCTTCTGGTAGTACTTGGAAAACTTGTTGAAGATAATGGTGATCGGAAGGGCCACCACCAAGATGCCACAGATGATGCACGAGCTGGCAATAAGCTTCCCGGCCAAGGTGACAGGGTGGGTGTCTCCATAGCCAACGGTCGTCATGCTGATGGTGGCCCACCACCAGCAGACGGGGATGCTGGTGAGGCTGGATGAGTGGTCGTCTTTCTCTACAGAGTAGATAAGCACAGAAAAGATGGAGATGCCCACCGACAGGAAGAGGAGCAGCAGCCCAACTTCGTGGTAGCTGTGCCTCAGTGTGGCCCCGAGGGACCGAAGTCCCACCGAGTGCCGGGCAAGCTTGAGAATTCGGAAAATCCTCATAAGCCTGAGGATCTGGACCACCTTGCCCATGTTCTCGATGTCCTCGCTCTCTTCCTCCTTGGTGTCCACAGCCAGGGTGGCATAAAAGGGGATAATGGAGACGAAGTCGATGATGTTCAGAGGATTTTTCCAGAACTTCTTTTGACAGGGAGCAGCAACCAGCCGGACGGCGAGCTCGCCGGTGAACCAGGCGATGCACGCGATCTCCACGCCTTCCAGCACGGGGTCATCCACCTCCCCGTCCTCGTTCTGGAACTCCGACATGCTGTGGACACACATGGCTACGATGGAGGCCAGCACCACGCTCAAGGAGGAGATGGCGATGAGCTTGGCCGACAGGCAGTAGGCCGGGTTTTCCATTCGAATCCAGATCTTCTTCCGGAGCTGACCGAATCGCAGCTTGTCAAACTTCTCCAGCTCCTTCTCGAACAGGGTCGACTCTTCAAAGGAGGAGTCGGTGCTCACATCGTTGCTCTTCTGGTCCCAGTCCTTCTCGTGGCTTTCCTCCTTGCGCTCCTGGTAGCGACTGCTGCAGCAGGAGTCGAGGAAGAGCTCGTTGAGGCCCCAGTACTCGATCTCCTGGCAGAAGGAGAACACGCACAGCTCCTCCATGACATGCAGCTTCCCTGTGTAATAAAAGTTCAGCACGTATCTGAACAGGGAGGGGTTCCGGTCAAAATAGTACTCTTTGTCCGCCACACTGTAGTCATCACACAGCTCCAGGATGGCCTCCTCCGAGTGGCAGGTGAGCAGCTTCCCGAGCCTGGTGTGAGGGAAACGCAGGAGGGTGCTCTGGTCGACGGACTGCTTAAAGCCCCCCACGTTCAGGTTGACAAGTTCCTCATCTTGTCCGTGGCGATGGAAAAACTCACCAAACACCATGGTGGATACAGGAGGCTGAGAGCTGGCTGGGAAGGGAGACGAGGAAGTTCACACTGCGCCTGGAAGGAACGCAAGACGGCATTAGCGCTGTCCCCTCTGCCCTGCCAAGCTTATTTTTAATCTGCCCTTTCCACGAGGATGAATTACATTAAAAGCAAAACGGGAAATGGAATAACAAAAAGAGGACATGATCACATTTTGACTAGAAGAAAATCAACACAAATAGGTTTTGGGGTTTTGTTTTTTGTGTTTTCCTTATTTTAAAAAAAATTTGGGTTTATATATCCTTTTTAAAAAAAATACTGTCATAATTTTTATGAGCCCCAATTCCTATTTCTCTATTTTTTAAGCATCCAAAATTATCTCCTACTTTCCCAAAAGCAATGCGTTTGGGATACTTACACAATACAAGCATCTCCAGTCTCAAGCACGAGGCCTACCCATTTGGAAATGATAGGCTCACTGCTGCCTCGCTTGTAGCTCATCTCTCCTTGTCCCCAGGGCTTGGTCCCACACCCTCAGGAACAGCTATCTCCTCTGCTGTGCACCTTGACCGCAACCCACACATAACTAGGGGCTCAGCTCAGCTCTTACAAAAGATGTAGGTTTCCCCTTATGCACCAGTGTTTCACTCCTTTTAGAGAAAGCCCTGTTTCCTACTTTCAGATGTGGATAATCAAGAGGATATAATTATCTCCCTGTCCTTAAGTACCCTATATCTTGAAGATATAGTTACACTCCATGGATGGGGTTTCAGGTACATCCACAAGGGAAGAAACTGACTTAGGGAAACCTCTTTAAGTTAATTGCACTATCAGTTTCCTGACACAACCACGCTCCTCTGCCACCTCCTCCCTCCCTTCACAGTCTCCCACATACTCCCAATCTATGATACCCAAGACATAGTGGTCCAGCACATATAGGCCGTTTTAGTCCTAATGCTAACTGAGATGTACCCGAACCATTTCTCAGAGAGAAGATAATAGATTTTTGACCATCACCAATACAATGATGCTTCCTCAGGGCCAATGATGCAGGTAAAAGAAAGGTGAGACTGTCACATACAGAGTTCCAACTGAGACCTACCAGATGCTTTGTACATATTATGTCATTGAATCCTTCCAACACTGTAAGGTAAGTGTATAGGAAAATGGATACTCAGAGCAGTTGAGTACAAGGTCAAGAGAGAAGTAAATGGTAGAGCCACAATTTAAACCCAAGTTGGAGTAATCCCAAAGCCCATGCTATTTCCACTACACACATTCCACCTTCTCCCAATCCCTTCCTACTCTTTTCCTTATTATAATCCAATAACCCAATGTGGCAACTGCTATAATAGAAGTTGAGTCACACGTCTTTGGGATTGTTGAGAAAAGAGCAGTGATCTCTGTCTGGAGAAGCTTCATAGACGAGGTTGCATTCAGGTCAAATGTTACAGGTTTAAGCAGAGCTGACCAAAGAGGGAAAAGGACGTCCCAACAGAGGGCATCAAAAGGTAGGCAGAAGTCAGGCTGTAAAGAGACCTGAGCATCAGTCTAAAGAGTCTGGACTTTATCCTGGAGGTAAGACCACTAAATCATCTCAATCAAAAAGTGAATGTGGATGTATTTGGGACTGTAACTTAGAAAGACCCCACTGACAACAGGAAGGAAGACTGATGGGGGGAATGGCTGGGCCAAGGAGGGAGGGCTTCAATAGAGCAGGTGAGATGGCCCAAACTCATACAGCGGTGGTGTGTATAAAGAGGAAGCGACAAACTCAGGAAGTTTATAAAGTAGAATTGACAGTACTTGGTGACTGATTGGAAAGAAAAGATTTAAAAAAGGGGAAAGTCAAAGCAAGGATATGTTTTCTACTCTGCCTAAGTGGGTGACATCATTAGAGGAAGCAAATTGTTCATGTGGGCACTTCTTGCCTTTATGTTTATGGAAAGTCAAGGCTATCGGCGACACAAGAGATTCTGCCTCTGAAAAGGGCACGTCAGAGGAAGCAGCCTTAAAATACAGTCCTGTGCCACCCACCTTACGAGGACACCCACAGTCATAAGGAATGCACGGCCATTTGCTCTGGACACAGCAGCACTGACTATGTTCCCGTGAAACCAGAGACCATGGCCTGGCACGGCAAAACACTTAATAGATTTGCTGACCTCTTTAAAAGAAGTGATTTTTTTTTCTGCCTCTGCTTTCTATTTTTAGTTAAATATCTTCTCTGAAGGGCCTAAATCAGAACTCATGGCATCATCCAAATATTTATGGAACATCAGATCTATGAAAGCAGGCTTATGCTCATGGCAAACAGAGTAGTAAAATGCTCCAAGGAACTAGTTTTAGCTAAGCTAGCATTAAGACTTTAATGGACATTATCTTCTGGCGGATTAGGTTTGCTCTCCTTGGCCATCCTGGAAACCCACAGTGCGAGAAAGCCACTGTCTGCCTTTGTGATCCTGTCTGCCTAGGTCAGTCTCGTAATCAGAGAGTATGCCATCCAGTTCTCAACTGTTCCACAGTCACTTCTCCAAAGGACACTGTTATCAGCTGTAATATCAGTCTTCTTGCTCTGCCCTCCTTGCTTTTTAGTCACTCCATGCCAGTGAAAGAGAGCCCATTCTGAGATCCATCCGTTCCACAAAGTCTAATCATAAAAGCAACACACATCATTAAACCAGGGGTCTCTTGTTGAGGGACTTTCAGAAGAGAGAAAAAGGAAAGAATTTCTGGATCAGATCAAATGCTTCAGCTCAGGGGATGAGACGGGGCTCTGTGTCAGGGCGGCCAGGGTGCAGTGTGGATTTCTTTGGCTGGGTCCAGCCTGTCGCAGCCTACGGAGGTCAGGGAAGAAGGAGATCCCACCTTGACAAACTGCACTAAAGTCCCCTCACATGCAGATAGTCCCCGGCCAACTGCAAACAGTCCTTCTACCATTTGTTCCTCACCACTACCTTGGGATTTTGCAGAGGAAGCAGGATCAGAGGAGATGAGTGGGCATCACCCAGCTGTTAAGGGTCAGAGCAGAAGCCCAAGCCAGGGCTCCTTATGGCAACCCCTCTGCTCTACAGCGTGCTGGTTCGCACGCTCACAGTGGTGTAAGACAAGCAGATACTGAGCACCATTGTTTTTACGAGATTCCTATATTCAAACTAGTATTTACTTAACAACCATCATTAACTCCTATTCAGAAAATACTTAATTGGATCAAAGGTATATCTGTCTATATATTTAATATATATTATATATAATATATATTATATGTGAAGTTACATATAAATGTACATATAAAGGGACATATATACATACACACCCACACATAGTGTGAACCATATATATAGAACTATACACACACTAAATAAAAATATGGGTCAATTTCTCCTTTAAATGAGAAAAACCTCTCTATTATGCCTAAAATATAACCAAAAATGTTATTATATAGAAGCAAAAATTCTGATATGGAAAAACATGCCATAAGCAACATTAAAAAGAGAATGCAGGAAAAAAATACTTGCCACTTACATCACAGACAGATGGTTAATATACCTAACATATAAAGAGTTTAAGCTAGAAAAGAAAAACAATGTAGAAAAATGGACCAGATACAAAGAGACAGTTCACAGAACAAAATGCAAATGGGTCTTAAAACAAGAAAAAAATGCTCTATCTTTTTCAGAATAAGATAAATGCACATTAAACCTATTGTGCAGTATCATATCTAATAATAAAATGAAAAAAAATCCAAAAATTGGACCACATACTCTATTACCGAGTATGTGGGCAAGTAGGCACTTTTGTAAACTGTGGGTGGGAATGCAAAATGAAGGGATGTTGTGAGGAGGAACTTGGAAAAGTCTAACAAAGCCGCCCACAAAATAGGAGAATATATTTGCAAATCATATAACTGATAGAGGTCTAGTATCCAGAAGAGATTAAAACACACTTAACCACTGAGCAATAAAAAGACAAATGGGCAAAGGATTTTTATGGACGTTTCTCCAAAGATATACAAATGGCAAAAAGTACATGAAAACATGCTTAACATCATTAGTCATTAGGAAAATGCAATTCAAAATCACGATGAGATACCACTTCACACCACTAGAATGGTTATAATCAAAAAGCAATAATAAGTTGAGGAGGGTATACCTTAGTGGTAGTTTGTGGTCCTGGGCTTAATCCCCAGTACCTCCAGTAAATTAATAAATACATAAACAAACAAACAAACCTAATTACTTCCCCCAAAAATATATTTTTGAAAAAGTAATAATAATAATAATAGTATTGCATTATAATACAATAAGTGGTCGTGAGGATGTGGAGAAATTGAAACCCTCAAGTGTTAGAGGTACTAATATAAAATGGTGAAGCCATTTTGGAAAACAGTGTAGGTTCATTTTGCAAAAACTTAAACATAGCGTTACCATTATGATCCAGCAGTTCCACTACTAGGTATGTTCCCAAGAGAACTGAAAACATGTTCAAACAAAAACATGTACATTAATGTTCACAGCACCATTATTCATAATAGTCAAAAAGGAGGAACAACCCAAATGTCCATCAACTGATGAATTCATAAACAAAATGGTGTACCTACACAGTGGAGTATTATTTGGCTATGAAAAGGAACATAGTACTTATCCATGCTGTAACGTGGATTAACTTCGAAAACATCAGGCTAATGAAAGAAGCTGGACCGAAAAAGGGCCACATGTTGTACAATTCCATTTATATGAAATGTCCAGAGTAGGCAAACCTGCAGACACAAGTGGATTGGGGGTTGTGGGGGGCTGGGAAGAGGGGAGAACGGGATATGACTGCTCATGGGAATGTGTTTCTTTGTGGGGGTGATAAAAATATTCCAGAATTACATGGCTTTACAACCTTACAAATATACTAAGGACCAGTGGGTTATACGTTTTAAAGGGTAAACTTTCAGTGAAGTATATCTCAATAAAACTGTAATTTTTAAAAGGATCCCAGCTAAGGAAGAAAACTAAAACCTTGCCATCTTGCAACGCATAATGGAGTCACGAATCTAGGCAATGATCAGACATGGCTGGGAAAACCCAGATAAAAAGCTGATGGGGAACTTCATAACTGGTAGATCAGAGGAACAAGACCGGAACCCACTGATCAAGCCTGGTGTAATAAACAGAGATAAGACAGAATGTGCCTCCTGATGGAAACATACACACAAGTCTGAAGTATTCCGGCCAAAAAAAGAATCAGACCTGAACTTGATCTAGCCTCCAGATCTACAAGTTGAAATCAAATAAGGATTTCAGAGGAACACGTTCAAAGACGCTGTAGGGATGTAATCAGCAAAATCAAGACTGTCGGAAATCCTACAGGACAGACGACAGGGATCAAATAAATGACATATCACATAGATCCAGGGTGTGGCTTTGTATGGCTACCGAGTCTAGCTAGCCAAATGCTTTTAAAAATATATGTGAAAATCAGGGACACTTGAACACTAAAATAGATACTTGATAATATAAAATAATTACCAATTTTTCAGCGTGCTAATGGTATTGTAATTATGCTCTCAAAAAGAACCTTTCTCTTTTGGAAATCTATAGTAATATTTTATGGATAAAATTATACCACATTTAGGCTTCATTCCAAAATAATCCATTGGTAGGGAGTGGGGGGGACGAGGAAGAGTCATACAGATGGCTATGCATTAATAATTATGACAATCGTTGCAGCTGAGTGATGGTTACAGAGGAGTTTAAAGCACTATTCTCTCTATTATCATAGATGTTAAAATTCTCCATCAAAAATGTTTTAAGAAGGCTTTACTAAGCACCTTTTTGGGCCTTGCATGGTGGTAAATGCTTCCATATACATTATTGAGCGTCCTTTAATTCCCAGCAGTTCATGCAGTACCTGGACACTAGTCAGTCATGAGTAAGGATCACTCAATGAACAAGTCATTTCACTCAATTCTCCAGCAATGTAAGCGGTAGATCTTATACCCCATGTTGCGAACCTGAGGCTCAGGGTTTGACCAACATCAGCCAGCTTTTTTTAGGGTGGACTCTTTCCACTATGCCTCATACATGAGTACTTAATTTTTTTTTTTAAGTGGGAGGAAGGAGAGACTTCGGCTTTTAATTTTACATATTTTATCAGTCATCTTCATTAAAGAATGCTAATGCTTTGGTAGGAGATTCAGTACTAGCAGGCCAAGGACACACATGGTCTCAAATTAGGCACATAAGTGGATACAAAACACATCTGGCCACAAGGTAGAAAAATCAATTGCTACGTTCATTCTCTTCCTCAAGAAGAGCTTAGGTTCATCCTACCAATCCTCCTACCTTCTATCAACCACATCACCCATGGTCAGAACACCATATACTATATTTTGCCACCTTGTACCTCTTGGTGTTTGTAAGACTGAAAAGAAATAAAAAGGTGTCAAAAATCCATGCTATTCTTTGGGAGCTTAAGTAAAAAACCACATTGATCCACTTATATCCAAGTGGCACCCATAAAGCCTCTTCAAAACGATTAACCTCTTACCTCTCTCTGCTTCCTGCTCTCAAACTCACTTTAAAAATGCTCTCAAAACTGTGTGTTTTCAATGAGAACCTACTGTATAGCCCAAGGAACTGTATTAAATTTCTTGTAATAAGCTATAAGGGAACGAATATGAAAATATATGAATACATATCTATGTATATGTATAGTTGAATCACTTTGCTATGGACCTGAAATTAACATTGTTAATCAAATACACTTCAATAAAAATAAATAAATAAATAAACAATTTAAAAAATTTTTTAAAGGATTAAATGGGTTAAGATGTGTAAAGCATTTTGTATAGGGTCTAGTAAGCCTCGATAAAATCTGAAATTAATTTAAAAATAAGTTTTTCTCAACTTGAAATGGAATTACTGTATTATATTTGCAACAGTACATAAAATAGATACAAAATATTTTACAGTTTATGATTCTACCAGGTTTCCAACTTATAAAATACAGCAGTGGCTCCACTAGTAATTGGAAAATAAATTTCCAGTACCTTAAAAAAAGAGAAAATAAATTTCCTTCTAACCTTTTTTCTGTATTTCTCCAAAATTGTCCATAAATGCAAAGTTGAAATATAAGTAACCATTTCCAAAAAAAAAAAACCTGTGTTTTCAAGGCTGAACATATACAACCACATACATGCATGAGTGGTTTTAATAATGCATTTAGTTGCTCAGAAAAGTAACAAAAGTGTAACAAATACAAGCCACTTGTACTTGCTTTTTGGGGGCAGAACGACTTTTTAAAATCAATTCCATAAAAGTGAACAAAAACCTAGATTCCGTTTTCCTTCCCATTTGTCCAAAATCTACATTAGCTCAATCATCGAAGAAAACAAAGTGCATTCTTCTGCATTAATATTCCTATCTTTTTGGAACTTTCTTCTTAAAAAGATGCATTTCATTCTATTAAGTTTAAAAGAAAAATCATGTATGCTTTTAAAAAGGGTTGGGGGGTGTAGGTCATGCTAAATTCTATTTCTGGCCATGCCATGTGAGAATATTCCAAATGAAACTAAACAAGTGTAAACAGAATTGAAAATTTAAATTCAGTCCACACCCAGTATCAAGCATTCTCTCATCAGGCACCTCCCCTGGTGATGATCTTCTGCTACATAAGGCAGGCTCCCCGTGCACTGGTGTGGGTAACAGATAAGGGAAAGAACATCAGAAGTCACTGACTGGCCACTGAGGAGCAGAGAGTACAATGAAATGTCAGTATAATTGCACAGTCCATCATGACTGTGGATTTAGAATGGAGATGCTGATGGTCCTTGATTCAGGCCTCCGTAAGTCAGAGTGTTTTTACCGCAGCTAAAATAGTGCAATCCTGAGAAATAGCTGTTTCTGAGACAACTAGGAGGACATGCCCAGTGCAGAACACGTGAGACTTCACAGAGTCTTCTGGAAGCAAGTCTTGGTTTCCTGGGCTCAGCATTTCCTGAGCATCCGGAGGCTCCTGCATGGAGCCATTTCTGGCAGAAGCCTTCTAAATGGTCCAGCCCAGCCCAGGGAGGAAGCCTGGATATAATGTGAGTCCCACTGGCCAAGCAGACAGAAAGAAAACTCCCTCCTGGTCTGTTTCATGGCTGACGTGTCCCGACAGCATTAAGCACAGCTGATAACATGCCAACGGCATAGGGCCAATTACCAGGGTCTCAGGTCGCCCCATTTCAGAGCATTCCTAACCTAAACCCAACTTTTAAAGGTTGAACTAAAAGAAACGAACTCACCAGGTCCCTAGCTATACTGAACTATCAGAAGCAACTGAAGAAAAGAGGGGAAAGTTAGGACTCTGAAAACTCGTGTTTGAGCTGCCACTTCCCAGCTATGAGACCTTGGGTGGGTAGAGTCTTGATCTATAACAGATGATACACACACCTTGATGACACGATAGCAAATGCAAAAGTCTTTTAAAAACACAAAATGTAAAACCTTGTTCGCGAAATAAGAGATTATGATAACAGTACTTCTACCCGCTCCTTCCTACCCCTACTTTCTCCCTTCCCTCTCTTGCCCCCTCCACTTAGGACAGTCATATCAGAGTTGTGTTCATCCCCTCTGCATCTCTACTTAGTGTGGCCACCCCCGCCTCTGGAAACTCCAGGGATCCCTGTAATTCAAGCAGCTCCTCTCCAAGCAGGAGAGATGCTCAGGCAGCTGAGTGACTTCATGAGCCACATACCCAGGAATCTGTCCTATTTGTTTAAGAAAAAAAAAAAAGCGAAGAACCACATATGAAAGATTTTCAATCAGAAACAGGAAGAAAATGTGGGCTTTGCCACAAGAGGGGAGACTTAACCCCTCACGTCTCTGACTGAGTCATGTGACACGGAGGAACCCACATACAAACGGCTGTCACAAGGATGCTCTTGTGTTCAGAAGAGGGAGTTTTGGAGAATCTGAATGCACCTATGACAAATAGTTCACCCCCACCCCCACCCCCACTTCCCAGCCCTGCTCACCTTCTCCCACAGCCCTTCAGTTATTTGAGTCCCCCCAATATGAGATTATAGCATTTTCACAGTTCTCTTTACTCCCTACAAATCCAACCATTGCCATCACTAGACACTAAGCTCTTCCATGGAGGGGACCATGTCCCATCATCGCCACAGCCCCCACCCCTTATGCTAATTGCCACCCACAGTCCAGTGAAATATACTCACTTTTATCTGGAAAAACTAACAAAAACTATCATTGATTTTGTCAAAGAGCTAGCAGAAGGATCTAGCTCAGACATGGTGAAATGAAATGCCTTCCGTGGCCAAACACATTAAGTTACACAAATTAAGTGGGCTGGTTGGGGACTATGGTGAACTATCCCCGCTTGTCTCAGAGGCAGAGGCTTCTCAGAACCAGAGTCCTTTGTGGGAACAGAGGGCCAGTATAGGTGTACCTTACCGTGTTCCAGGAAAACTCATAAATCATTGCTTTTATGTGGGATATCTCAACTTTAATTAGAACTGACCCAGAAAGTTTTCAACGCTATGTGAAAAATGTGTCTCTGGGCCAGTTAGTCCCAGTAAGTCCTCAGTCAGTCACCCAAGTGAGATTCTTACCAGCCCCAGCTCCACAGCACCCATGTTAAGCCAGACTTACTCAGACGGGCACAAATGGCATCTTGTCGCAGTAACAGGAGTGTCCCTTCCTCAAGACTGAACTACAAACAACAAAAGGGGAGTTGGGCAACATGGACCCACAGGCTCTCCCAAAGTTGACCTGCCATGTCCCCCAGTATGACTCCAACCTAACCCTTTCAGGCTGGCTCTCTCCTCTTCTCCCTAAGTCATCTGGCCCAACTGTCCAGTGGCTTTGACAATCAGAAGGTCTTCCCGAAGTCTGGGCTTTATTTCTGTCACTGCGCTGCAAGGTTCATTCTCCCCTTCCTTCGGTAAGTAATGGTGTCAGAGAAAACATCAGGGAGGCAATGCTTACCCTTGTGGTGTCGACATCACACTCCCTGCCCTCATCCTGCCCAGCGGACTGTCCATCGTCATCCTAGAAGCTCCGCCCTTCTTCCCTCGCTGCAGAGTGTGGTGCAGAGAGGCATCTAGTGGTCCAAAAAGAAGAGAAGACTCCTATTCTCTGGTTGTACCGGCCGAAGCAATCACTGGGAAATCACTCTCGCCTGCAAAAGGAGTCAACAGACAAGTTGTAAGTCCAAGGAGAAAACATGTCTATGAAGTTTAGTCTGAGACCCAACGCTGGGCATTTTACTGGTTAGACACGTATCTCAGAGCATCACCTAACTCTCGGGGAAAGGGTGGGGGCGGGCCCTCCCCCCATGGAACCATCACTCCCACTGGACACAGTGGGTAGGGAGACATCACCAAGCCCCAGGACTTGATTCACAACCACTCTCAGATCTGGACCACAGTGGACTCTTGGGGCATCTGCCCTGACCCCAAGGCCAACAAAACATCCGAAGACAAAAGGAGGCACTAGAACTAGCATTCATCTCCCACACAGTTACTTCTAGGAGCATTATTTCCTTAGCTAATTCATCAAGGATATACTTATAAACCCTTTAATCCATTTTAGAGACGAAGTTCTGAGTGTGACTGCCCTAATGGAATTAGTACTGCCGCTCTAACTGGAGATCAATAGGTTTCAAAGGCTGGCCAAATTCAATTTTATTTCATTTGTCCATTGTCATGTTTCACGGATGAGAAATGACTACACGTGCTAGATCAGCGTCCTTTCTCTAGTTTATGTGCATGCATGAGTGTATGGTGTTTGGGTAGGGGGAGGAGGCAGTTAAGTTTGTCCCAAAATGAATAAAAGGACAAGTTTCAATTTTTTCTCTCTGAACAAATTAAAGAAAGCAAAAGAAACTTCACTTCCCAATGAGGTAAGCCTTGCCCCATGCTGGTGCATTCCCATAGATTTATACTAACATCTAAGCAACCATCCGTCGATTGTCGTTTTCCAATCAATGCTAGGCCCAAAAGAGGGGAAGATGAAAAAGAAAAGATTGATTCTGAGCTTCAGAAAGAAGAGCCTCCAGCCATGTCAGTCATTCAGCAAGCTTTCATTATAGCGGAGGCTCTGCCTGGCATTACCCGAGGCACGGGGATTACAAACAAGATGCGGTGCCTGCCCTCTCCCCCGCCCCGGGAGCTCACAGCCCCCAAACCAAATAACAAACAGCTCAAGGTGTCTGACCAACATCAGGGGGGCAATGGAGAGGGAGCCAAGCAGGAACAGTCTCCGAGCTGGTCCCAGCAATGTCCATAGCATCCTTCAGTGAATTTCCACCTCTAATAGAGATGACAATGAAGAAGGATCCAGAAGAAATGCGAATCTACCCAAAGTGAACTTCTGAGGTGGGACTCTTGGCAGAAGAGGTAGAGAAATCTCAACAGGGATAAATAAAATCAATTCAGGAGCTAGTATCTTCCTCCTACAGCTCCTCCTTCCTTCTCCCTCTCCTCCTCCTCCATGGCCACCCAGCAGCACCTCACTGGGTCAGCCTCTGACATCTGTGTTCTACTTGAAATGCAGAAACTTTGTTGTGCCTTTTTGAAAGGATCTAGCACACATATATAGGCTTCCATTCCCCACCAGACGCCTTTCCAAATGTAGCACATTTTAAAGAAGGTAAGATTAATCTGGCTTGGAGATAATCAATTAACTGCAAACAGCTTTGATATGACTATATTGACCACTGAAGAAAAAATTAACAAAGTTCTTGGGTTACTCAGCACTTCTAAGAAACCCCAGGCACTGCTGGGCACCAGTACATCACCCAGAAGGACAGGGCTGGCCCAGACTGTGAGGTTAGCCAAGCAGATCTTTTTTTTATAGAAGCCAGTGCCCAGTGGGTATCAATGCCTGATGAATAAATTACATCCCAGGTTGTCCCTTTCAGAAAGAGATTTCTCCAAAACTCAGAACTCTTGTGCCTTGCCTCACTTTCCATCACCATGATTTCTGTCCAAAAAAACTGGATTTCTGGAGAATAGGTAAAGCCAGTCCACACCTCTCTATGTGAATTTATATCAATTCACACCCTCTGCTTAGGGCATTCAAACTCGAAGTGTGACGTCTCCACGTAAAATGACAACTAGCATCTTCTGAGTCCCTGCAACATGCCTAGAACCTTCCCAAGTGTTTCACACACATCACCTCTCTCCTCAACCACCATAGGGTAAGTGCTGAAGTCCCCATTGTACAGACGGGACACTGAGGCTCAGAGGAACTGTTCACCCAAAGTCCCACGCCTAACGAGTCCCAGAGACAGGATTCACACTCAGGCAGGTCTGCCTGATTTCAATTAGTGTAAAATATCAAGATCCACTTTTCATTGTTGGGGAAAGTTAAGGAAGGGTGGGGAGAGGTGGCAAGACGTGGCCCAAAGCAGCAGGTTTGGGGGGAAGAAAACTGTGTACACCCAACACAGTCTCCCCCTTCCTGCTGAACAACCCCACCAAATGGCCCTCGTGTTTCTCTGTCTTCCTATCAATGTGCAACTGTTCAAAAAAAAAAAAAGAACAGGATCACTTGTGATTTAGCACTTCGGCAGGTTTCTGACTTTGCTGAGTGATTCAGCAGGATCCTGGCAAAACACATCAAGCTCACTCAAGCACTGCCGGCCTCTGCAGAATTCTTCTCTTCACAGCACAGAGGGAGACCCTCTGCGACATCATCCTCCGATGTCCCTCCAGCCTGGCTGAATTTCCCGGCGGGCTGACTACAGCATTCAAAAATGTACATGATGACTGTCTCCAACACTGAGAGGGGAAAGGCGAGGATTAAGTGGCAAATCAGACTCTTCTCATCATCCAGAGACCTGACATCCAAGCTTGGAACAGAACGAGGAAACCCAAATGGGCAAGCAGACAGTGCACAGGAGTGATGTCGGCCCACGTCCTTCTCCCAGGTCTCAGAATCACAGGAATAAGGTTTGCTCTCCCAAAAGTCAAACTGTAAAATCAGTGCCTGAGCTCAAAGCAGACATAGCAAGTGAGCAGACTCTAAGTGACACGGCAGCCTAGCTCTGTGTCCTCTGTACTGGCAGAGAACGCTGAGAGGACCTGTCACCGCCCTGCTCACATTCTTCTGAAATGTTGTCACCTCAGTGCCACCCACCAGACCGAGAAGCCTCCAGTTAGGGAGAGTGTCATAATATCAATCTTCAAATTAATTATCCTTGCTACACAATGATGCTCAACATGTTTTTATTGAACCAATTCCTCTTCCTCAAGCCAACAGGACTAAAGAGTAAATTAATTAAAAGAATCGTTACGGATCATGAAAGGCAGTGGGTCAGCAATGGAAGCAGAGGAGGAACGTGTAAAAGGCCAAAATTGGTTGCCAAGACCCATCCCAGCACTTTCTAAAGGAGAAGACGCAGCGTCACAACACTGATAAGATACATCTTGAGTGGAGTTCTAGGTGTCCAGACCTCAGAGTTTCAGGTATTATCATTTACCCAGAAATCTCCCCTGGTTCTGAGGCCAGGCTCCCGGAGGCATCTGCTGGTGATTTCTGTTCCCAGGCTCCTGACCAGCAGGGGAGCATACAAGCTATGTGGCCAACACAAGCGTCCACTCTGTCCAGTTCTACTTACTCGTGGAAATTAATAAGACAAAGGCAGTTTATTTACTCAGCATCTTCTGAGTTTCTCTTCCAGTCAGCCTCCCAGAGTTTGATCAGCTCTGGGACCCCGGGAAGTGAGTTTCTGAAGTGGCAAGGCTGACCCCGACCTGTGACAAGGTCATCCTGGAGCCCCCTCCTGGCAGTCGGCCAGCTTCCCTGGAGACATCCTGACCACGCACGCTCCCACAGCAGGGATTCTCAGCCTCAGCACTATTGACATTTCGAGGCCAGATAATTCCTTTTTGTGGGGGCTGCCCTAGGCTCTGCAGGATGCCTAGCTGCACCCCGCCGCCCGCCTCTACTCACTGGATGCCAGCAGTGCACCTCCTCCAGGCCCCCAATGGTGTGACAACCAAAATGTCTCCAGAGAGTGCCAAATGTCCCCTTGAGAGCAAAGATCATCCCCAGTTGTGAACCACCGCTCAACAAGTAGACTAGAAAAAACTTAGACACCTGCTGGGGAGCAGGAAGCTCAGGAAGCTCAGATCTAATACTGACACTTCCTCTGCTGACAGAGGCTGGGGAGAGTCCCCCAGAGCTCTTCTTTTCGAATTCACTCTTGGCACTTCCGGTGTCAGACAAGCAAACCTTGGCAAGTGAGGAAAGATAAAAGCAAGGCTAACCTTTTGTTGAAACTCAAAGTGTGCTTCACACAACTTGAGCCTGGAGTAAAAGTCAGTGATTTTTCTCTAAGAGTCTGTCTTCTAGTTGCTACCATTTTCAGTGCCAGAATAACACACAGGGCCTGGGCACTAATACAGTTTCAAAGATGTGGCCTACTTTCCAGGGTGGGGTGGGGGGGTGGTGCTCCTGCTGACCACACCCACTCCAGACCAAACTGCCCCATCTTATGGAAACTAACTGATGTCCCAGGAAAATGCAAATAGATAGATAGATGGATGGATAGATAGATAGATAGATATGATAGAGATACACATGTATCAGTTTTGTAGTCTTGCCGCAATTCATCATCCACAGATCAATTTTCCATAAAATCTAAGAGTAATGAAATAATAGGAATAATAACCAAAGGTGAAATTGGACCCTATCTCTACCTTGCTTAACTCACGAGAATTGTGGTCTAGAGTTTTGCTTAAATAAAATTAAAACATCACAATCAGGCCACCATAATTGAATTTAGCGTGCTGGGCAAATTGTACTTGTATTTAAATCCTGTAATCCAAAGCAGTCAGAGTAATCCAACACTGTCTAGTTGACTCAGAAAGTAGATTACAAAGAGTATCTCCAAACAACTTTGTTTTTTTTCCAAATTATCAAATTTCAAGAAGTACCTTAATACAAAAAAAAATCCTTGAATTAACACTGATTTTTTTTTCTTTATTTTGCTCTGTCCCAAGAAGAAAATGAAAACTTCCCAGGGTCTAACATATTCAGGAATTAAAAATAAATTGATAGAGGTTCTGGTCTTTGGAGAGAAAACCAGTAAGTGCTTTCTAAAGCAAGGCCTCTAAATGATATCTGAAAGGTTAATATAAATCCTGTTTCTCTTGGCCGTCCAGAGTGCGTGAATGCAATACCATCCCCAGAAGTCCCAAGGGCTGGAAGCACAGGTAACCAAACACCACTCTCCTCTCCCCGGGTTCTGTGTTCCTAGACAACCTCCCCTGGGGAACAGTGGGAGGCAGCAGGCTGCTGCTGAGTCACCTCCAAAGACAATCCGCAGAAAGGAAGGCACGGAAAAGCCCAGTGGAAGGGTGTGCATCTCATAAGAAGCAAAGCCGCACAGCCACTGACCACTAACATAGTCCTCCCCACAGGTAGACAGGGCTCCGGGACTACCACCACCATTCCACTGGTCCCAGGAAGGAATTCCCTGGCTCCCTCCACCCTGCAGGAGCCTCCCAGCTTCGTGGCTGACCAAAAGCAGAGCTCAGGCTGCAGCCAGGAAACAGGCAAATCAGCCCACCTGGGGAATTTAGACCCTGGGCTTGGTCTCTCTCCATGTTTTCAACAGCTGATGCATCAAACATCTACACTAACACAGCGATAAAACGAGCAACTGCAAGCAAGCAGTTCTGGGAATGCAGAGGGAAAAATCTAATCTGCAATGGTAGCAGTGGTGTCAGTAGGTTAAAAGAAACCTTCTGGAGGACTCCGGCAATGTGTGTCACAAAATCCCACAGTTTCACATTTTGGAATGTATCCTGAGTAAATAAATCAGACACGTGTCCTAGGATGAAGATACAGGGATGTTCACTGCATCATTAATAATTCATAAGAGTAAAAAGTCGAAAGCAACCTAGAGGTCCATCAATAGGAGAATGGTTAAACATTAGGATTAGCCATGCAATAATACTCTGTAGCCATCAAAATCTCTAAAATCATAGCTCTGCAGACTGAGGCCCCGCTCTAAGTGTTTGCACTCTCGAACCTGTTTAATCCTCACAACACTCCTACGAATAGTATTTTTACTGGATTCATTTTACAGATGGAGAAACTGGCAAATAGAGAAGTTAACTAACTCCCCAGGGTCAACAGCTATTAAGTGAGTTTCATGGTTTGAATTCAAACAATAACGCTCTAAAGCCATTATCTGATCCACTGCCTGTAGGTTGATGAAAAGAAAGTCACAATATGTTCAGTTTTTTTAAAAAAAGAAAATAATTATAATACAATAATGTCATGATCTGATCTTGACGAAATATATCTGAGTTTATGAAGTGAAAAAATTCTATAAGAATGCGCACCAACACGTTAAAAGCGTTCTCTCTGGATGATGGAATTTGGAATGATTTTTGCCTTCTGCTCGGTAGCTCTCAACATTGTGTGAGTTTCTTTACAAGTATTATGAAACACTTATGAAAATAGTTACTCCTACTTGAGAAAATAAAAGGTCATAAGCAGACTTGGTCAGTGTTTGGGGAGGGAGGAGGGGGCGTGGGGTAGACATGAAGTGAACTTACAGATCTGGGAGAGAGAGAACCCTCCGCCGACGTGCTCTGGCGTCATTTGCAGGAATCATAAGTTGCTTCTGCTGTTCATTCACATCTGCTTAGGGGCAGGCACCATCCTGAAAACTACAGAGGACAAAACACAAGATGGCTCTTGCCCTCAGAGCTTACAGAAGCTTAGAAGAGCTTGGAGGAGGGTAAACAAGTATGTAAATGACTGCAACCCAAGGCAGAAGGTGCCGGGGACCACAAGGAGAGGTGTCGAGAAGGTGGCACAGTTCAGAGGAGGTAAAGGGTCCCCCCAGGATAGGGAAGTAGGGACAACTACATGAACTGGGCTAACAGAGCTGAGCCACGAGGGTCAGGTCAGATACGAACAAGTAAAGGAAGCAGGTAAGATAAGAAGGCTGGTCTCCAAGGAGAGGAAAGAACACGTGTAAAGACGTGGAGGCAAAAAAGGCTTGTGGTAGGTACAGAGAGCAGAAAATATGAGTTTGGCCAGGAGACAGCCCTACGACCTGGGCATATTTAAATAGATTCTTTTTTCTTTGTATATAAAGAACTCTGCCTGTGCCATCCACACCTTTGTGAGCAAGAATGACCCAGGTGAGAGATGTCTGTGCAGACGGAAAATGAAGTGCAGGTGGCCATACAGAGAATCTGCTGAAACAGAGTGACCCTACCCTACATCTCCTGAACTATTTAGCCACAAGGAGCCAGTCCAAGAAATGAAAAAATCAAAAACAAACAAACTCTTGGGAGTTATCACTGTTCCTAGAACGTGTGAAAAATTAGAGGCTGCCCCTGGGAAGGGCATGGCACCAGGAACTGCAGTCGTCTGAAATGGCTAGATCATCTCTAAAGAGCTAATAAAGAAGAACATATATTGCTAGATCATAAATTGGTTTGACTACATGGATAACTATGTTTCTGTACAATTGGATTCTTTTATATCCTGTGGCTTTTTTTTTTACGTTGAAAAACTCTATTCTGAAAAGTGGTCCATAGGCTTCCTCAGACTGCCAAAGGGGCCTGAGGCACAAAAAAAGAGTTAAGAATGCCTTAGCTAGAGATCCTGTTAAATGGCAAGTCACTTCCTGTGACTCCTGTGTGCAACCCTGCATTGGTTTCCGTCTCAGAATAAATTTTTCCCTCCTCTTGGACTTACCTGATTTCATCTCCCACTTGTCTCATTTTCTTTCATTCTCATCTGGCATATTGGTCTCTGTAACAGTCCTTAATCATGTTAAGAAGGCAATTCGTGCCTCAGGGCCTTTGCACTGGCTGATCTCCATGCCTAGAACGCTGCATCCCCAGGTGACTGCACGGATTCTTCCTCACTTCCTTCAGGTCTTTACTCACATGATAGCTTCTCAATGATGCCTTCCTGGGTTACCCTAACAAAGTCATCCCCCAGTTAAACTCCTACCCACCTTCGTTACTTTATTTTTTCTCTTTAGTATTTTTTAATCCCTAAATTACACTTAGAGACATAGACTTTATTTCTTTATCTTATTTATAGTTTATTTCCCCACTTGGACATGAGCTCCACGAAGGTAGGCATTTTTGTCTTACACATCACTGTATCCCCAGTGCCTTGAACCTTATGTGACACACATGAGATTCTTAAAACTGTCTGTTGAATTGATTGGTGAATCAGTTCATTGGTTGACATTTATCACATAGCTTGGCTACCGACTGCTTCCATTCCATGCTGAATTTTAAAGTCTGTCTTGCCCACCGAATTACTGGGAGAAAAGAAAATTCACAGCAAAGATGCTTTTGAAATTGTGATCACCACAGAAGAATAGCAGCTTATTTATCAGCCACCGCAGAAGGGAGATACATTTTTTCCTTAATGAAAAGAGTTTTACATGAAAGATAAGGTAGATAAGTTCTAACACACATACAATAAGTTCCTGGATCAAGCTATATCATAACAAATACAGAAAAGGTAAATGGAAAAATTGTCATATGGCATAAAACCAAGAAAACACACTAACCCAGAGTGCAATAGAAGCAATGCTGGTTGATAAGATCATCACAACAGATTCCACCTGGAAAATGATAAAAAAAAAATGGACAGCTTACAAACACAGGAGCAAATACAAGAAATAAAATCACCACGTGGGCACTGCTGGACATAACCTGTCACTGTTAAAAATACAGAATTACCCATTTGCGAGCACTGCTGCTTACGGATTAAAATAGCAAAAATGCATCTAACGCTGGTAAAATCTGAAGTTCGCTGTCTTCACGGACATATAAAGCCTGGGAGCATGTTGTTTTAGTAAGAACGATCTTTTTCTCATAGGATAATCTGTCAAACAACCAAAGCTGAGACTGGACTCCTTGTAGTTATAAAAAAAATTAAGGACAAATAAAGAAAGCGCTATGTGATACCACATTCGTCCTTATGTAGATATGCTCCAGCCACTCACATATTAACAAACAACACACAATAAAATCTCCCAAGCCCAAATTCCTCTTTGCAGCAGCTTCTTGAAAGCACTTTTTACACTTCTTTGTTCTCCGACAATACTTGCCCTAATCCCACACTAAGCGTTTTTGCTAAAGGCGCCTCCAGGGAACCAAACTCAAAGGACACTTCCCATCTGTGCATGACTTACTTGTCTAAGGCAAGTGTCACTGCTGACCTCCCAGACCCTGTGGTTCATTGGCTTGTTCTTGGTATCCTGTGACACTCTACTTCCTCTTTCCAAACTTAAAATCTGAGGTCACCAAATAAGATACCTGCAGGGACTAGACAGGTGCCCAGACTGAGAACAGAGGTCACCTGGCCACTGTGACAAGCTAGAACGCACTGGCCCTGGCAAGAAGGGACTGCTGTCCCTTATCTGTGGGCATCCAGTGGCCAGACTGCCCATGCTGTGGAGAGCACCCACAAATCTTACTTTTATGGGAATTTTCCCAACTTTGTAAGCGTTACCGGTTTTGTCGTTAATGTTTTAGTACTGAAGGCCAAATCAAACAAATCTGTAGCCAGGATACAATCTGCAGAACTCAAATTCATGTCACGTCCCCAGCCCATGGGTTCCGCCCACTGCTCTTCTTGAGAATTGCACTTAACTACAGAGTCCGGGTGCGTATTTCCAGCCCAGATCTCCCCACTGCGCTGCGGACTCATGGAACTGCCCACTGGAGATGTCCATTTGAATGTCCTAACAGGACCCTGAAATAATCACGTCCACACCCTCCTTTCATCCTGTTCCCAAACGTCTCTCAAATCCTTCTCCTCCCCCTCTCTCTCCTGCCTCGGCTTTAATTCAGACACTCAGTATTTTTCCATGATTTACTCTAATAGATTCCTGATTCTCCTCCCTGTCTTAGACCCATCCCCATTCTCCACCCTCAAATTCATTCTTCCTGCCGAGCTAAAGCTACCTTCTAAAATGCACAATCTTACAGCACTCTGATGGCTCCCTTGTCCTTCAGGATAAACCCTAAATCCCAGCTGGTTGGTCTGAATCCCAGCTTCACCACTCATCAGCTGTGTGACCTTGGGCCAGTTATTTAAATTCTCTGAGCCTCAGTTTCCTCATGGGTGAAACATGGATACAAAATGTCACTTACCACCTTGGGCAGTTACGGGAACTGAAAATGAGATAAGACATATAAAGCCCCCTGTGCTTAGCACCTCGCTAACGCTCCATCAGATGTTAGCTGTCAGTAACACTGTCATTCCTCATCCATTGTCCTCACCTGCCACAACCCAAGTCCAACTCTAGAACTGTAAAGAATTCCTTGAAATTCCCCCAAAGCACCCCCCAAATTCTCACTCATTTGCTCAGAATGCCCTTCAAGACTCATATTCTCTATCACAGCCTCCAGAACCAAGCCCTGACCCCCAACCTCCCTTATCCCTATGTAACTTGCTGAAATGCAGTGGAACAATTTCCTCGAAGCCTCTGCCATGACACTGTCAACCTTCCAAAGGCAAGGCCTATTTTTTCTTAATCTTTGCATGCTTAATGCCCAGCAAGAAACATTCTATAAGCCCCAGATCTACCTAGAGAGGCAGGCATTATCATAATCACCACTTATGCGTGAGGAGACTGAGGTTCAGAATGGTTATGTACACATGGGTGATGGCAAGCCCAGAGCCCCAGCCTGGCTCTCCCGGGGAGACCCACGTGGTCACACTGCTCCTGCTGGTGCTGGTTTGCTGTCTGAGCTTCCGCACCAGGCTCATGTACTTACAGCAGACTTTCCTTCTGTCCTAGATATCTCTAAATGAGTGGGGAAAGTACATAGGACTTTTTCTCATCTCATGCTCTTCCTATGGTGATGTCCTTAAGATTTACCATCCCACCAAGACAATATTCAAAAAGGGAGGGATAATTACCCAAAGGAAATTAGGGGGCTGCAGGAAGAGGAAACAGATGTGTGGCCAAAAATTCCATTCCCAGAGAGTTTTCCATTCTTGAACTTAAAATAGAAATACAAAGAATGTAGAAGTCTAAGGAATTTCAAGCATCAAGGAACAGGTCAAATTACCTACCTGGGTGATAGAGGCCCTCATTAATGCCCCCAAATCACACTAGTAGACAAGTCAGTGACATCATCTTGCCTCCGCTTCTTACTAACATCCCTTCCCTCTCCACAGACAGCCAGAGAGACTTTTCTAAACTACAAGTCAGAACGTGTCTATACCTTCCATAAACCTTCAGTGGCTCCCCACTGTGTTCGGGATAGAGTTCAAAACTTCTCCACTGACGTCAAAGCAAGAACTTCCCCGCCTGCCTCTCTGGCCTCTGTGTCCACCAGCATACTTCAATCCCCTCTGCTTCAGCCTGGTCGAATTATTTGCCATTCCCAACCTCAAAGAGAACCTAGTGCATTCTCTTTCCCAAGTCCCATTGAAGATGTCCTCTCTGTTCCTTTCTTTTCCAGGTAATCCCAGTTTTGTCTCCAAGAAATCAGCTCCAACGTCACCTGTTCTGGGACACTCTCCTTTGATGTACCACACTCCTGCACATGTGCACGCCCACACACACATCTAAGGCTGAACAGGCACCTCCCTATGTGCCAGCAGAACCCTATTTCTTAGCAATATCACCGAGACACGGTGATATCAGCACCTGGCACACAGCAGACAAGTGGGAGATGTCTGGTGGAAGGATGACTAACTGAATGTTCTGCTTAAGGGTATAAGGCTAGGATTTCGTGGTCAGAATAGAGCGGAGAAGGCTGCTTGGAAGGTGCTTTCACATCTTACAGCCTTTCCTGGAGGCTCCAGGACCCGGGATGAGAATGTCTGGCCGAGCCACGGTTTCTCTGTACCTAGTCTGAGCACCTGACACATTACGGTCTTCCCAAAGAAGTGTAGAAAAGCATTTATTGCTGCTAGAAGTCACAGATGTTGCCAAGTCATAAATCCTCAGCATGTTTACAACAAAACTCTGAGACAGCCAAGTGTCTGTTGCTGTAGTAAGTTGCCACAGTGACTATCTCATGGGGTGAAAGAAAAGTTTCCCGTAACATTTTAAATATGATGGTTTATATAACATCTAATCCATTATTTGGAAGGGAGGAAAAAATGTTCTTACGCTTCACAAGCATCCACATTCAGCTCCTGGAAGCTACCCTAGGAGGATTTTTTTTAATGCTTTGCCCAGCACTATCCACTATGATGAATTCCATGTTTCATCATTATGGAAATAAATTAAAAAATAATGAGATCCCGGGCGATTCAAGTCAGAAAGTTTTCAATTTGACTTTTGAAAAATTAATTCTCACTCCTCTCATTTGTCCAATCCATCTCCTAAGTGCGCTCACCTCTCTGTGAGTTTCCAAGTTCTCTGTACAAGGAAGAGCCAGGCGGGATGGAGCTGGACGGAAGGAAAGCAGAGACTCCGAAGAGCCCCCAAGCCCTCCAGCGAGAGCAGCAGTGACACGTGACAGCAGGGCCGAGCCCCGGGACAGCTTTAGGTCTGGTCTCTGGACAGCTGCGGGCTTTCCTCCTGAGATGCTGAAAGGAACTCCCCACTCCACAGTAACTAAGAATGCACACTTGAAAATAAAAAATAAACACACTTCGTATAGCCTGGAGTAAAACATGGCTCTCTTTACCCGATTTTCACACTCAAACTTCATGTCTCTGGGTTTCCTACTCAGAGCTTAGCATGGGAAATTCAAGATAGTAGTTACACACGAGACCAATTGGATAACTGCTGAAGAAGTTCACAGTAGAATGGTGCAAATAGGGTTTTTGTTGTGGCTGTTTGTTACATAAACTCAAAAAAAAATGACATGGTATTTTTTAAGGAGTCATCTAGTTCTTTTATTTGAAACCGTGGATCAGCAATACATGAAATTGCTCCCATTCAAATTCAGATAATATTAGATGAAAAGAGGCTAAAACATATAACATAACCAAAAATTAACTTTTATTCTATAGCAGTAGCTCTCAAAGTGTGGTCAGGGGACCTCTACGGCTCCTAAGATCTGTTAAAGGGTCCATTAGGTAAAACCATTTTCATAATAAATCAAGGTGCTACTTTCCTATTTCCCTCTCATTCTCTCACAAGTGTCCAGTAGAGTTTTTGAGAGGATATATGATGTTTGAGAACATAACAGACTAAATGGAGAAGCAAATCTATGAATCCCACTATGTTCTGTTAAACCAGACAATAAACAAATTTGTAAAAGTGTAAAACAATGCCACTCATAATTATGTTGCTTAAAAAAGTTATTTTTTATAAATATGTGCCATTTATGTTAACATGTTACAGGATTATTGTTATTTTAAACAACGAATTAAATAATTTGAAATGCATCTATTTTAATTTCCAATATACATATTGACAGATATAACCCACATGACAAAAATATTTGGGGGGTTCTCAATAATTTTTTAAGCATATAAAGATCCTGAGACCAAAACACTTGAATATGCTGTTTCAGAGCACTGGAATCTCAATTTCTTTTTTTTTTTTATTGTGGCAAAATACACCCGACCTAAACTTTACCATCGCAACCATTTTTAAGTGTACAGTTCAGTGCTTTGAATGCTTTCATGATGCTGTGCAACCACCATCCATCCCCAGAACTCCTTTCATCATGTAAAACTAGAAACTCTCTACCCAATATGGTACTTTTTTTTGTGGTTTTGTCTACTTCATCCAATCAGCTAAGCAGCCCACAAATGAGCACCCTTCTTCCTCTAGGGTGTGTGTCTGTGCAGACGGGTGTGTGGAACAGAGCCCTGTCCCTGAGGGGAGAGAACTCCACCTGCTCCCTTCTACACCACACCATCCTGGACATCCATTGCACAAAGCATCTACTGCCCCACTTCTTATGACTTAACTCTGCATCCGCGGGGCATTCTGAAACCTAACCCCAATGTCTAATAACACTTACCTGGGACTTGCTGACACTAACTTACAAATGAAAGGTTGTAAAACAGGGTTTGCTGTTGTGTTCTTAACTGTTGACATGGCTGACAGCAGCAACCGTTACGAAAGCAACTGGCAGCAGACCCAGCAGAGTTTAGGGCCATGTTACATAACTGTGCATCCTACTGTGTACTGTATACTCTCTACTTCAAAGTCCCCTATAAAAGACATGAGATGAGAAGGCAGAATGTGCTGCAGCTTCTGCATTTTAAGTCTGGAGGAGCTGGGAGAAGAGAATTCAGGGCTCATCACCAAAAAGAGGAACCACACTGACATTTGATTTCTAATTAGATCAAGAAGCCTGGGGAAACTGCTTAAAGGTGAAGCTCTCAGGCACCATGTGAACTTTCATGAGATTCCTGTTTTTGCATATCTGGGGAGCCTACACGGTAGGATTTGTGATCTAAGGAGATGATGAGAAGGTTGGCGATATTGATAAGCTTTTTACATTTTGGCAAAAATAGAAAGATAGATGGATAGACGGGTGGGTGGATAGATAGATAGATAGATAGACAGACAGACAGATAAACGCTGTCATATAATGACACTTTTCGGGCAGGGAAGACAAGCTTCACCAAGAAAGCTCAACCCTGAAACAGCCCAGGGGCTAAATCTTGGCCAGGCAATATATAATTACCAGGGGGAGGAGGGCAGGCAGGGGTCCTCTGTCAGTGGACTCTAGAGGGCACCACACTTAGAAAACTGGGATCTTAAAAACCCACAAGAAAAATACTGCCCAAAAGGTATGACCTTCTTATTGACCTCAAAGACAAAAATACCCTTGCCAGAACCCAAGTGTCTCCTCTCAATCCAAATCTGCAAACTGGGGTCCTTAACCACGGAGTTCTCCCATCTCTTTAGCCAATTAAATTGTTATCTTGGGTGAATCATAGGAAATGATTTTAGGTTCACCTTGACAGGTCAATCAGGGCTTAGGAAAGCCAAACCAGTTCATGGAAGAATGAAAGTCAAAAAAGGTGAGCACCTTCAAGCCCCAAATGTCAGTCTGCTGGCATTCTTTTATCTCAAACCACCAATTATGTGCCAGGATATAGGTCAGCGTTACTGACACAAGTCTTCAAGAGGCTGATGCCTCTTAACCAGTCTTTGGCGTAATTTTCAACTCTACGGCCCTGTTGATGCTCTCATTCCCCACGACTACAAATTGGTACTGGGTACTCCACACTTCTTCAAGGCCCCATCAGGCCCTCTGGGATTCTCCTTATTGCTCTTCGGGCCAGCATATTCTGCTAAACATGGGTTCCCAGATGACAGACCATATGTCGCTCTCTTGCATCTTTCTACAAGATACCCATGGGTACAGAGTCTTATGTGATGGAAAAGACCAGGTAAAGAAGGATTCCACTGAGACACAGCAAGCTGGCTTCTAGCTATGCCTGAAGCACTGCATCGGCCTCGCCCCCATACATCTTGGAGACGCTTGGCATCTCCCCCCCACCATGCTTGTCACTGATGTCTCTCCATTTAAGCCAATTAGAAAGCAGCTCATTGGTGATCATCAAAGACCAAATGCTTAGAATCTCACCACAAATGTTCCCACATACCCACTCAAAGTTCTCCTAATCCAATTTATAGAAAAGATCCAAATCAACACATATAAATGACGCTACTGAAGGAGAATATTCGTAGAAAGATTATCTATTTTTTTTTAAATCAGAAAATCACCAGGCTGTGGGGCAAAAAAAAAAAAAATAAGGAAGGAGAAGTGATACACTTAAACATACCCAGTAATGGGAGACAAAGCCAGACAAATGTCTCATCTTTTGGAAGGGCTGGTACCATATAACTCCGCATATGGAGATGGGTGTGTGTTGGCTTATTGAGGAGCTGGACTCAGCTCCCTGATCTCAGCCACAGTCACCTTCCACATAGACAGAATAACTGTACTCACCTCCCCTGCACCTGCCCTGTCTCTCTGTTCCCTCCATAACCAACCTAATATGCAGGGTTTCCACCTTGTCACCTCCCAGTCACTCTCACTCAGTCCAAGCTGGCTAGAGGTCCCACCTCTCCAACACGCCTCTAACTAGGCTCCCAGTGGCCATGCTGGAACCTCTCTAATCTTTTCTTCTCTAATCTAGTCTTTGCAGCCTTCACAGGTGACCTTCTAGAGGTATAAATTGGCTCCTGACAGTCCCCAGCCACAAAGCCATTAACTCCTTCCCATAGCCCTTGGGATAAACTCAAACACTGAACCTGGCCCAAAGCGCCCCGCATGACCTGTCTGACCCCTGGCCTCCTCGCCCCACCTCCTGCCAGCCTGTCCTCCTCGGCCTGTTCTCCTGGAGTTTGCCCAACACTCCATGTTCATTCCTGCCCTAGAAGCCGCTCACTCCTCCTGGAGCCTGGAAATCTCTATCTCTGACTTTTCAAGTGATAAACTCCTCTCTGTCTCTCAAAATGAAAAGTCTTTTCTTCAGAAAGGTCTTCCCAGCTCTTCTGTCCAAACTGGCGCCCTCCCCACCCTTCTGTCCTTCCCCCGTGAAGGTCTTTAGAACAGTCGCCACTACTCAAATGTTCGCATCCATTGTTTAATGTCTGCCTCCTCCCCCAACTCCTAGCACAGTACCCAACATCGGGTAAGTACCCAAACACGTGTTGAATAAATGCCTGTATATATTTGTATATGTAAAGAGGCCATATATGCCCTAAAAAGTTAATCATTAAGTCAGCACTGCTGAGCATCTGCTGGGTGCTCAGTTGAGCTCAGTTGATCTGCACAGGAAGATCAGCAGGATGCTTCGATCCCTGGGGACTTCAGCAAGCACACTGAAGCCAGCTGCTGTCAACATTAACCTCCTACGTGTAACATGACCGGCTAAAAGCAGGTCTCAGGCCTTTATCATCCAACACTTGTGTAATTAAAGACAATTTACAGGGTATCTGCTCCAAGCGAACCATGGTACAAGATTCTGTAGGATTCCAAAGAGTGAGACCCCCACCCTTGCCCACAAAGAAAAATGCTGCAACTAAGCTAGGAACTATTTATAGCTTAGCAAGAAGGTTTACTTTTATAAGGGATAGGTGTACGTGTGTTGCAAAGTTGCAAAAGTGACCCAGAGAAATGATTTTTAAAAAATGGGATGGAAATTCTTCTACATCTGCTCCCACATTCGACTGCACATTCTAAACATTGTGACTGTGTTCATCCTACTCGGGATTTCTCTCTGAGTTTCACATACCAGGTCCCTGAGTGCAAAAATAAGGCAACAGCATAAAGTACTTTCTCCTCCTTCCTTGCCCTTGCTAAGCACCTTGACTTAGAGCAGTCACCAAAAGCCAGCTGCAGGATGAAATTCAAACTCCACCACCTCCAAGGATGCTCTGCTTCCACTGCTCTCCTTGTGAAACCTGAAGATGATGGACTTGGTGTCAGAAGACCCCTGGCTAAGACCAAGTCCAGGGCTCCCTTTGCCTTATTTTCTTCATCTGCAGCTTGGGCTTCCTAACCCCCGCTCTGCCTGCTGCTTGCCACACTCATATTTAGCATCTTGTATTGTCCTGTCTTGGGCTGGTTAATCTTGAGTTTCCAGGCCTGCTGTAAATTCAAGTTCAGAGAACATGTCTTAGATTCTGCCCGCCCTTGATGTCTGTAGTACGGGGCACAGGGCACCACACAATAATGTCTTATGAGTTGGTTTGCTGGTTGGCTTTTTTGATGCATTCGACTCAGAGTGCAGCCTTCTGTGATTTTTCTGGGTTTCTCATTGATAATAAACATGTTTTCCGGAAATAACCATAGTTTACCTAGCCCATGATCTTTGTGGTCTTTTTCCCAATCCATTGGGCAGAATTCCATCATAAAGAAGAAAATTCTGGAAAAAGCAGAAAGAACATTTTTCTAGTATAGTTTTCAAGGTTCTTTTTAAGGTGAGATGGGGGCCAAAGAGTCAATTGGTAACTGCAGACCACCTCGCCCTGTCACTGTCCAACAAGCCCAGTCTGAGGGCTACGAAGCACAGGACACAGCGTCAGGGCTCTAGGGATAAACAAAAAACAGAATCTCACAGTGACTCCCACAGTGACTCCACACCCAGACTGTCAACGATAGAATCCTGTCGTCCTTGTTACATGACTTCACATACAATACTCATTACTTTCTTTTTCTTCAACTATAATAGGGAAATTCATGGAAGCAGAGATCAGAGTAATATAGCAATAAGCCAAGGAATGCCTGGAGCCACCAAAAGTTAAAATGGGCAAAGACAAATTGCCCACAGAGCGTTTGGAGGGAGTGTAGCCCTGTGGGCATTCTTGATTTGAACTTCTAGCCTCCGGAACTGTGAGAGGATAAATTTCTGTTGTTTTAAGCCAAAAATAAAATAAAATAAAATAGGGTAATAAAAGAGCTTACCTCCTAAGATTGTCATCAGGATGAAATGAGTTAATACAAGGAGAGCTTCCAGCATCGTACCCAGTACAGGGTAACAACAAACATCAGATGTCTAGATCCATGCAGCCAAATAGACTGCGACTCAGAGAAGCAAAGTGGCTTATGTCAACTCAAGGAGCCATAAGCAGGTAGAAATCGGGCTGAAGCCCAGGTCTCCAGTCCTAGTCTGTTCTCTGCGATGTCTCCTTGTTTTTTCACCCTGGCAGATCTCCCTTCCTGACACCTGAGAAGAAGGGACAACAAGCACAGCCACCTGCCTCCCTGGGCAGCTGTCCCCGCCCACCTGCCAGAGACCCTCAAGCCCCGCCCCGTCTCATTGTCTCCCCTCCGAGGCAGAAGGCCCTGCAGGGCTCCCACAGAAGCCCTGCAATGAAGGGAAGCCTCGCTTCCTAATGGGGTTGTTGTGAAGATTAAATGAGATAATGCCTGGCAAAGTGCCGAGCAGAGTAGCTGGCATACAGTATGCAGCCAACAAATGTTACCTATTAAAAAAGGAAGAAGAGGAGGAGGAAAACCCTGTGGTGCCTGCTCTCTGAGCTGACACACATCCCAGCCCCAAATGCCAGACACGAGGCAGATGGAGATCTCTGGTGCAACAGAGGGAAGCAGAGGCTGAAGGATTACAGTGAAGGGCAACATTCACTGAAGACAGAAGAGGGGGCTGGAAAACCCACTCATCCCCTCCTTTTCTAAAGAAACAATACTAAGGAAGAAGAAAAAAAACTCAGCCGGTGCTTTGCTGGCAAACTCCAGCATCAGAGCATTTGATTTTTAATATTTTAACATTTCTGAACAGGACAAAGACTGCTTCCAACCTCCCAATTTGTTCTCATGCACTTGACCAGCAAAACCTTAGCTTTGCCGCATTCATTAATGGCTTTCCTTATTCGGGCTGATTTTCCAGATAATAATGGCTCAGACACAAGATTGAGTCAAAACAGATCCTGCAAGTCTCCTTAGAATATTCACAACATGCTCTGGATTCAGAGTTCTTGAGGACTTCAGTATCGTCCCCTCCCTACCCCAATATTGACAAGTCCTGGTTCTGAAATGACTGACAATACTAGAACAGGAGAAGGAAGGAATCCGGTGAGAAAAAATAGACTGGGAGCAGAAGCATGTGCTGTGTACTACCGAGGCCTGCCCCAGAGACGGTGGGCTGGCTGTAAACACCTACTAAATGAATCAATGTCCCCAAGCAGTTTCACAACCCAGGTGAAGCGTGAGACCCACCCAGTACACCAAGTGCAATCACAGAATCAGTGCCACCCTCTGTCATCTGAGACATGTGAGGAGAGAGAGGCACCAGGGCATACGCCTTTAGCCAGGGGGCAGGTGCTCAGGAAAATGCGTGCTTCCTGTTTACCTGAGCAGGAATTTGCAAGCAGTCTAGAAAGGGGAGCAACTAGGGATAACTTGCACATTTCGAAGTGAATGCTAATGCAAATCACTTAAGCAAATACATGAAAAGGGACGGGAGGTTTCTGTTCTGGTTTTCCTCAGCTGCCACACTCTGGGAGGGTGAAATGAAAGACAAAAACCAAGAATCGGGCGGAACGGCAAGTCTACTCTCCAGGAGGACGATGAGAAACAGCCCCACCCCCCACACGCCCCAGCATCAAACCAGGGCCCCGGGTCACTCCGGCGGCTGGAGGCTGTTCTTTGCTGCCCTCCATCCCTGTCACGGGCTGCCTGAGTTAGACTACTGGCCCAGTGTCTCCGCCGAGATGCTACAGACACCAAGGGCGCAAACGGTGCTCCTTTCCCCGAAAAAGACGGCAGGAGACAGAGCAGGGGAAGCAGGGGGGTTGGGGGGCGGGGGAACGGGGGGTCAGAATGATCCCTGCAATGCGAAAAGCGCCCGGCCTGGCTTGCCGCGGCCCCTGCCGGCAGGTCTGGTTCGCTCGCCAGCCGATTCACCTCAAAAAGTCGGGCAGCCACCCAGAGGGACCCGCGAATGGGAAGTTCCCAACCCCGGGGCACCCACTCCCATCACTACCACTGATCCAAACGCAGAGTCTGCAGGCGACTCCACACGGGCCCTGTAAGCCCCAAGCACTTCCCACCCGGAGCGCGCCTGCAGTTCCTGGGCGCAGCGCCGCCCCGGAGCAAGGGCCCTGGGTGCGCTCTTGCCTGCAGCTGTCGCGGGGCGCCTTGCACCGCGGCAGGGCAAAGGGGAGGGGGAGTGACAAAGAAGAAGGCGGAGCAGGCGGTCTGGGAAGCACTTACATTCGTTGGGAAAGCGCCTCCTCTCGAGAAAGAGAAGCAACGGCTTCCCGGCTAAGGAAACGCCCCAGGGATGCCCCTCCGCGAAGTGCCGCCTTTTCCCGGCCTCTCGATTCTCCCGCCTCCAGTCCGTCCTCCACCCCACGTCTAAGACTGGATTCTAGACACCCTCCCTGCGGCTTTCCGAGGGACCTAGACACTGTCTCCGCTGCCGGCAGCTCAAGCAACAGGCGGATCCTTAGGGCTTCAGCGACGACGGGCGCGGGGGACCAGAGGATGGGGAAAGCCGGAGACTAGGCGCCCAGCAGGATGCAGAGTCTCCTGCGGGTGTAGATCTGCAGGGTCGTGCACCCGTGGGCTGGGCCGCAGAGGGACTGGGCAGCAAAAGGTGGGGAAAGTTGTGGGGTCGCATGGAGAAGTCTCCAGGAGCGCGCGGGGAGGTGGGGACACAAGCAGGTACCTGCAGGAGTCCGGGCGCTTCTAGCTGGCTCCGCTCTGCGACGCCGCCCGCCCGCGCTGCAGGGATCTGG